GAAACAGTTTCACGACGGCGTCCTCCTCCGCCTCCGCGTCCCCCGGCTGCTGCTGCTGCTGCTGCTGCGTCGCTGCGACGGAAAGCTGCCGGTGCGGATCAATAAGTAGGTGCATCATCTGTGTGAGGCAGCTGAGCTGCGTGTGCACGTCGAGGCTTGTGAGCAAACTGCTGCAGACGTCCGTCGCGCTCTCGTAGCGGTGGGCGGCGGCGGCGAAGTCGACGGCCTCCAGGTGGATGAGGAGCGCCACCACGGGGATGTGCAGCGCCGTGCGTCCGGCGGCGGCGCGCGAGCCCGCCAACCCGGCCCCCGGGGCCGAGGCCGGCACAAACAGAGGCGAGACGATGCGCAGGAGCTCGGCGATGGTGTCGATGCGGTGGCGGGAGAGCGCGGCCGCCGCCGCCGCCTCCGCCTCCGCCGCAACGTCGGGGACGAGCAGGACGGCCATCAGCGTGACGCACTGTTTGACGAGGGTTCGACTGACACGGGCGGCGCCGTGCGGCTGCCCCTCATTCAGCGCCTGCGGCGAGGAGGCGCAGAGGTCCACCAGGCGGCGAATGTAGACAAAGACCCAGTGGTGGAACTGCGGCTGGTCCACGGCGTCCGCCTCCGCCAGGAGCGGCAGCAAGCCGCCGAGCGGGAAGGCCTCCAGCAGCCCATCAATGAGCGCAAACAGCGTCGGGGAAGCGCCGTCGTCGTCGTCGTCGTCGTCAAAGCGGACGGACGGGCTAACCGTGATGAGGCTGCAGAGCAGCCGCAGGGCCTGAAGAGCATGCTTCTCTCGCGGGCACCACCGCCCCGCCTCAGCGTGGGCGGCGCCACACACCTTGCCGCACAGCTGCAGCAGGCGCCGTGCGTCCGCAAAGGACAGGGGGCTGTGCAGCGCACACCACGAGGGTGGCTCCCACGCGTCCGCCATCTCCGTCGCCGGCGCCGCAAGTGCCTCCATCACCTCCACCACGACAGCGAGATCTGGCGCGGACTGCTGGAGGAGCCGCGAGAGCCACGGCAGGAAGAGGCGGTGGTAGCCGCCAAGTGTGCCGGAGAGGAGAAGTGTCGCATCCCCGCCGAGGCGGTTGAGTGAGGCGGTGTCGCTCAGCAAGGTGTCGGAAACTGCCGCCGCGACGTGGCGCAAGTAATTCTCGCTGTTGGCCACCTTACACCCGCCGGGTGAAGACGCCTTCGCCGCCGATGCGGATTTTCCCTTGCCTCCCTGCGGGATGAAGAGTACGGAGCTTGACTGCCGCCCCTCCAGCCCGCGGCTCAGTGCGTTGGCGAAGGCGGTGAGGGCATGACGGTACACAGGACGCACCCGCCCGCCAACGACGCGGAGGAACGGGTGCTTGATGAGCCCCAGGCAAAGCTGCAGGACGGCGTCGTTGCCAGCGTCCGCGAGCGTCCCAATTTCTCCGCGCAGAGATACAGCCTGCAGGAAATCTGCAGCCGCAGCACTCACCGCGACGGCCGCGTCATTTTCCGTCTTTTTCTTGTTCGTGTGGCTGCTGCTGCTTCCACCTTTCGCCAGGATGGACTGCAGCGCCGGCAAAAGAATGTCCATGGCAAGACCGCTGCTGCTGCCGCCGCCGCCGCGAGTGGCCTTGCTGCGAGTAGGAAAAAAGTATTCCACGGCGCGACAGGAGAGGGCAAAGGGCACCACTGGCTCCCCCGGCTGCCCCTCGCAGGTCCTGGCCATCATGCGGCACAGCAGCTCAGCGGCGCCACGCGTGAGCTGGCCGCGGGACTCCTCCCGCGCCATTGACTCGACGATAGCGCTGAGCGTCGTGGCAGAGACGTGTCCCGCCTGCAACGCCGACCGCACCGCCAGCTGGGCGCCGGTGGCGGTGGCGCTGCTGACCCCACGCTTTTCGCGCGCCGCGGCGAGGACGAGGCTCTGAAGCTCCTGCAGCAGCAACTCCCGACGGTTCGTGGGGGCCGCCAGGGGGCACAGCAGCGTGAGGGACAAGGCCGAGAGCAAAAACTGCGGTGCCCCTGTTGCTGGAGGGCAGCCGCAGCTGCGGAAGAGCGCCGCGTGGACGAGGCCAAACCAACCCACCGGAAAGCGCTCCGCCTCGTGGGCAGCGTCGGTTGGCGCCAGGAGGCGTAAGTACACCGGCGGGAGGCGGCTGGGGCTCAGAGCCACGGCCGGCAACGGCGTGCTCAAGTGGCCGAGGAGGCACGCCATACGCTCAAGCACCGCCACCTCGCTGCCACCCGTGCCGCCGTCGCTCCGCAGGCGCACCTCGACGCTTCGGCGCACTGTTGCCCCCAATCGCCGCCGTCAGCGCATCCTTCGGCACGTACGGCGCCCCGAGGCTGTTCTTCGCACCACGCCCCACCTGCTCGCTCACCCGCCGCTGCGCCGCCCGCTGCGCCTCCTGCAGCCTCTCCAAGTAGCCGGCGTCCGAGCCCGCACCGGCGCCCGTGACGGTCTTCTCCTCGCCAAGGAAAAACTGCAGCAGCGTCCGAGTCACGGCATCCGCCGCGGCCGCCTCGGACGCCGCTAACTGCGACGCGCATGCCAAGCAGCACTCCACCATCGCCGCCCTCGACCCCCGCGAGAGGTGGGGCGCCCCTTCCTCTGCCTTGCCCAGTAGCTGGGCCAGCACCGGCTGCAGACGCGCGTCGGCCTCGGCCCGCAGCAACTCCAGCAATGGAAGGCACTCAAACACCGAAAGGTATCCGTCGTCGCTGCCGACTCCCGCAGTTGCTTCAGCGGGTTTGCCGCTCGCGTGTGTAGGCTTTTTTGTCCGCTTTCCCGCCCTCTTGGCGTCCCCTGCGTTAGCATCACCCTCGTCATCGTCGCTGCTACTATCCTCTGCCGCCTCGCTCCTCTCGGCGGTGGAGGCGGCGCCGTCATCCCCTGTGATAGTAAAAAAAGCCGGTGTTCTGCCCATCCCCGGCACGACAGCCGCCAGCCTCGCCTCCAGCTCCGCTATCAACTCGCGCCGCGCCCGCGCTGCAGCCGCGGCCCCCGGCGTGTTCTCTTCCGTCGACTCCTGGTGTCCCAATTCCACGTACTGCAACGCGAGATAGTAGAGCGCCAGCCCCCGCACGGCGCCTTGAAAGGCGTCGGGGCCGGGGCCGGCTTGCGGCGTGGGCTTCCGCCGCTTCCCCCGCGACGCGTTGGAGGGGCGGGCGTCCAGAAACCGTAGCAGGGGTTGCAGTGCAACGGCGAAGAAGCTCCTCTGTACGGCAACGTCGTGCTGCGTGGTCATCGCCCACAACGCGCGAATCACGCTCCGCAGGTGTGGGAGGATGACGCCGTGCTCCAGCGACGAGAGCCCCGCGTCGGGGCTCGCCAATGAGGCGAGCAGCTTTTCCATCGCCGCGGCGGCCGTGTGCAGGAACTCCTCAGCCACTGTGGGGGACTGCTCGTAGCACACGACGTGCTCAAGGAGCTCCAGCATCGAGTTGCCGCCGCCGCCGCCGGGGGCCGAGGAGGAGGCGAGAAGCTGCCGCGCTGTCATGTGCGCCATCGCCCGCGCCGCCAGCAGGCGCACCTCCGGCAGAGGATGCAGCAGGCAGGAGAAGAGAGGGAGTCGCTCGGTCGCGCCGGAGGCCCCCTGCACATCCAGCAACTCGTAGCGGGTGCCGCTGAGGTGCTGTGCGAGAAATGCGGCTGTCGCGGCCTGCGTGGCGACGTCGTTCAGCAGCCGCGACAACGTGGCGTCAAAGGCGTAGGAGAAGCGCCGCTCCAAGGCCCGCATCCAAGCCGTGACTAGTGAACTCGCGTTGGCCCTGGCCTCGGCGTCACCGCTGTTTTCCGCCGTCGCCTCCTCTTTCTCATCCTCCTCCGCCGCTGTCGCATTCGCCACGTCCTTGTCGCGGCAGCTGCCCGCTGCGGAGTGCGGCAGTTGGCACGCCAGCAGCGCCTGAATCACCTCTGCCACCAACGCATCCGTGAGTGGGAGGTCCTCCACGGCGCACTGCACAAAGTGCAGCACGTCCGGTGCGACGGACTCGACGGAGTGGGCAACCCGCAGCCGCTGCAGGCACTGGCGCAGTAGAACAGCAATGAGCGAGTCGTAAATGCCCCCGCCGGCGTTGGCAGCCTCCTCGGCGGCGGCGGTGATCCACGGCGCCCACTGCTTCCATGGAAATGCCAAGAGCAGATGAATCTGCGGGGCGAACGTGACCTGCGCCACAGCTGTCCGTTGTGTGTAGAAGAGGAGGTCGAGCACGGCCAAGAGGTCGCTCACGGGCACGGCGGCGCCGGCGCCGGTGGGGGAGGACGAGGAGGAGGATGCAGCGGCCACGTCTTCCACCGCGCGTGACAAGGCGCGCACAATCGGCTTCATCACGGTGGCCAGCGTCGGCACGGACAGCTGCACCTCACTGCTCCACGCAGCCAGGACGACGAGGGCGCTGCACACGACTTCCCGGCTCGGAAGCAGCGCCGCGGCGCTGCCGCCCTGCACATCTTCCTGCAGCCGCAACTCCTGCTGGGCGTCGCCCCTTTCGCTGCCTGTCACCGCGCCGCTCAGGAATTCCACGACGAACGGCAAGAGGACGCGCCACAAGGCCTCCGCGTCGGGGTGGGACGCCAGTTGCACCGCCACACCGGCGAAGAGGGCGTTTGCGGCGCCGTTGTGCACCTTCATGCGGACGGCCGCGGCAAGCGTGAGGCAGACCATCCGCAGCGCCTTGCGGCTCCCCGCGCAGGCCACGACAAGGTGCTCCCGCAGGAGCGGGGCGCCGTGCTGCTGGTTGCTTTCCAAAAAGGCGAAGCCGGTGTCGCGGAGGTCGAGCAGCATCACCGCGCGGGCAAAGAGGCTGTGGTCGTGGTACGGCAAGAAGGTTCGCAGCACGGCCTCGACGTTGTACACGTGCACCTCGTGGACGCGCACGAGGTACTCGAAAACCTGGTGCGCCGCCGTCAGGAAGAGGTGCGGGCTGAGCAGCGTGAGGAACTGTTCGAGGGTCGCATTCAGGGCCCGGTTTTCCTCCGCGCTCAGCAGCTTCCGCTCCACGCGGGACTTGTACGGGTGGAACAGCTCCTCAATGAAGGGGTGCAGGCGATTGTCGAGCGCGACCAGCGTCTGCAAGCCGTGAACGGCGAGTTGGTGGATCTGCTCCCGCGAGAAGCTGCGGGCCTCGCCGGCGTCAAACAAAAAAGATTGCGACAGCCGCTTCTCCCCCACAGGCCGCTGCTGCAGCTTCTGCAGCTGTGCGGCAAGCTGCGAGGCCATCGACACACAAGCACACTCACAGAGAGAGAAAGAGAGAGAGGCCCACTCGGTGAGAGACGCCAAGTCTCCCTTTTACTATTTACTTAATTTATCCCTTCCCTTGTTTTTTTTCTTCAAAGTGTTTCTGCCTCTCCGCCCGCGGGTGTGTGTGTGTGTGTGTGTGTATGTAAGTAATGCCAATGGCTGGCCGCGGCGCGGATGAAAGTGTTAACGTCTCGTCAGAGCCTACAGCAACAGCAGCCCAAAGAGAGATAGAGAGAGAGACAAGAAAGACAAGTGTGGAATACACACGCACACAGGCGGGGCGAGCGAAGGCGCAGGAAAGGGCGAACAGAACGGGGTCGCCTCACACAAGGCAACGCGGTTTGGGCGGGGCGGCGGCCAAGGCAGCAAGCGAGGCCCGCGCGCACGCAGAGGCGGGTCAGTCCTCTGCACGTGGGCGTTTGCGGCGTCCGCCGCGCCTCCGCTCCCCCGACGCCTCAAGTGTCTTGAGGCGCTCCACCGCGGCAAGCGCCCCCACCGACGAGGCCGTAAAAACGCGATCGCTCGGTGAAAACGCGTGCAGCCGCGCACGGTAGGCTGCCGCCTTGCTGCCCGCCGCCGCAGCGGCGGTGACGCTGCCCCACTGCTGCTGCCGCTCCAGGCCAAAGCCGTCAAAGAGGCAGCCGCCCAGCTCCACGTACTGCCGCAGGTACTCCGTCTCCAGGTCGTACACCCGCAGGTCCAGCGTCTCCAGGCGGCTCTCGAGAGCCTCGCGGCGCTGCTGCAGCTGCTGCAACTGCGCCGGCAGCCCCGCCCCCTCCTCCTCAGTCGCCAGGCCAAACGCGGCGGTGGCGCCAGACTCCCGTTTTGCGGCGGCACCGCGGCGGCCGTGGCCCTTCGGCGGCATCTCCGGCGAACTTCCCCCAACCCGCTTTGCACGCAACCGCGGCCCCTTGAGCTTCAAAAGGTGGCGTCTACGCCCCACTGCCGGTGCAGGGAAAAAGAAAAGCGGGGGGCGAAGGCGGCGTCGCGGCAAGGGACAACACACCCGCCGGAAATTAGGCGGGAACACGTTTTTTTTGTTTCGTTTTGCTTCTTATTCTCCTTGTTTCTTTGCGACTGGAGGAGACCCCCCACCCCCCACCCCCGCGGGCAGCAACAAGAAGAAAAGGGGGGGCGACGGGGCGGGCGACGGGGCGGGCGCGCACCGGCGCCCGAGGCAAACCGGCTCACCAGGGGGCGCGCAAGGGGGAGGAGTTCGCGTGGAATCAAGAGCCGCCTCGCAGAGCCCAAGGGAGGGGAAAGAAAAATTTCCATGTGTGTTGGAGTACAGAGGGGGTGGGGAAGAGGCGCAACCAAAAAAAAAAATAATAATAATAATAACAGCATTATTACTAAAGTAATACATAATATGCGCGCGTGCGACAGTAAACGCACACGATCCTCGCGGGGTGTAGAGCGCGAAAGAGAGAAAAAAAAAAGAGAGAGGGAGCGAGAGGACCGCCAAGCCGCCGACGCGTACGTGCGGTGCGTGCAGCTCCACTGAAGCAGAGCTGACGGCAATGCCCGCCGTGGGTAGAAACCCCCCACACCACTCAACCCCCCGCGTCAAACGGGAAGTAGGCCTTCGTTGCATTCACGCCTGGGGCGACGTCACGTCGATGCATGCTCGACGCCCTCGCACGGCGCTGGTGGTGGTGGTGGTTTGTGAGGCCCCACGGAGTACGGCGAGGCACTGCGTGTAGTCGCGGGAGTGTCTTATCCCTTTCGGCGCATGCATGCTGCGTACAAAAAAAAAAGATCCACCTCCACGCTGTGCCAGGGCTCAACGTCTATTCCGGGGCGACGACGCGGGGAAGCCACACGGCCTCCGAAGAAGAAAAAACTGCTGGCGACCTCAGGCCCCCCTGGAGCGCCACCGCCCATTACATCACCTGAGTGAAAGGCGTAGTTCTCGAAGTTTGGTGCACCTCGCCCCACGTGTCAATCGGGGCGGCACAAGGCCTCGCCTCCGCCGCCGGCCATCCCCACCCCCACAAGCGAAGAAACAGATGCGCTGCGCTGCGCAGGAGAGGCGCACGCTCCCGCGCACGTCGTTTTGTTGGCATCTGGGCGCTGCGTGAAGCCACCCGCTGGGGAGTCGCTGGGCAACTCAGCCGCCTCCTCCCCTCCACCGCGTCATGGCCCTCCCCCGTAGAGCCGCACAGAGCCACCGTGTGCGTCGGCCAGGGATCATTGTACATTCAACGTGGAGGAGGGAGGAATAAGCAGGCAAGAAAACAAAAAAAAATAGATATACATATAAATGCTCACGCCCCCAATCTCGTTCCGCCCAGCAATAATTTACACCTCCGCCCCCGCGCCGCCGCCGCAGCTACAGGGCACACTTTTCCATCTCCTGCGTGTGTCCTGTTGGGGAGGCGTGGGGCAAATGTCGCACACAAAGCCGCCTCCGCACGGCGGTCCCCGCGGGGAAATAACAAGACGCTCCAAAACTCTGCCTCGCAACCGCCTCCCACGAGAGGCTGAACGCTCCCCAGTACTGCCTCCGCCACCACGGCAGTAGCGCGAAAAACATACATTACAAAAAAAACACAGCGGGGAGGAAGAGGCGAAGTGGCACTGAGCAAGGCGGGTTTCTGCGGCGTCAATCCACTCCCTCTCGGCGTTCAAGAGCTTGTCGGAAGTTATCATTCAAAGAAGTGGGGCATTTTGTGTGTCGCGGCAAATATCATAGGCCTCTCGGCCAAAAAGTGATTCGTGTATTTCCCATTGCCTGTATAATCAACCGCCAGCTTTCCTCGTCAGTCACGATCGCCTCACGCCGCGCGGCCTCCGCCTGGAACAGAAGTGTCCGCTGCGCCAGCAAGTGCTCTGGCGCAGGCGCACCCGCCGCATTTGTGCCGTGTTCTTGGCGGGAATGCGCCTTGGGCGCTCGAGAGAGTCCCACCAATTGCCGCGGGGACGCCCCAACCGCCTCGTTGCACGACTGTGGCGCGTCGTCCCTCCGTGACTCGCCCGCCGCCTTCGCCGCCGGAGCTTTGGCGGCGGCCTCCGAGCCCGAGGCCACCACGACGCGAAAGTGGCCGCTGCACTTCTGGGCGGTCCGGTGCGTCAGCAGGACGTACGCGTCAAAGTCAGTGTCGAAGTACGTGATGTACGAAACTCTGAGCCGCAAGAGGGCGGCGTTCTCCTCGATGGCGCCCACGACCCTCTCGAAGGTGAGGGGGCCCCTGCCGCGGGGGTCCGGCAGTTTTGTTGCCCCGAGCATCTCACCGCCGGCTGTGACGTACAGCACGGACCAGTAGCCAACGTCATTCTCCCCGTCGTGGCCCTTGAGAGACAACAACGCCCCCGCCACAGGGCTGCCGCCGCCACACCGCTGCGGCAGCTGCTTCCGGTACTCGCCAGGCGAACCCGTGGGCAGCGGGGGAAGATGCGGTCTGGCGCGCGCTCGATACGCCGCAGAGGTCGTCGTCCCCAGCAGCGTTGGGTTGGGGCTGCAGGAGCGTGGGACCCGCACGCAAACGCCGTCCGGGTACGGCGACAGGGTTTCCGCGTTCGTAGAAAACCCGCGCGTACTGGGCACCGTTGAGACGGTGAAGCCACGCAAAAAAGGCTGTGCCGGGCCGGCAAGCCGGGAATCCGGCGGCCAGGCAGGCAATGACGTGGTACCAAACATCTCTCGCAGGCAACAGCTAGACCACGCCAATAAAACGGCAACACAATAAATAAATAAAAACAAAAAACAAGTCTTGTCCTACAAGCTACGCCGTCCTACTAGAACTTACACAAAAAAAAAGGATAAAAAACAACAACAACCCAAAAAGCAGTCTGCACGGGGCTGGTGCGTCCGCTGCGGACGTGGGGGAGGGGGCCGTCAGAGGGGCCCCGGAAGGAGCCAACCGCCAGTGCTCATTTCACCGCGCAGGGCGCATCGAAAAAGGTACACTCAGTTAGCGAGATCATCACGCAGCAGACGCAACGCACCGCACCGCACCGCACCGCAAGGCGGGCGGGCGGGGGTGGGGGAGAAGCGGGGGCGCCGCCCACCACAGCCTCATCTCCGGGACTACCAGAAGGCACCGCCACGGCACAGCGCAGCACACGGGCACCTCGGATTGCCCCGTGGGACACAAACTCGCGCCGCACGCGCGCATCGCTTGCACGGCAGAGAGAGGGAGAGAGGGGCAAAGGGGGGAAAAAAGAAAAAGGGCGGACGAGTTCGGCCAACCCTCTCGCGCAGTGTCGGCACCGACGCGGCACCTGTCAGCCAC